AAAAATGCATCAGTTTGTTTGAAAATTTAGAAAATGTCCATACCTCAAAAGATATCCGTACTTTTTGTAGCGTTTTGAAACCGTTCATCATTGCCATGTTGATAAGCAAACACGACTGAGGGTGGTAAAGGGTAAAGTAGGAGAAGTGGGAGGGAAAGAGGGTAGGAAAGGGGAAAAGTTTTAGCTAAATTGCTTCAAACCTCAATGAATTCTGAAAGAAATACAAAGAGACATTCTTTGATTGATGAACGCACCGTTTTGCAGGCCTGCAAAAAAAAAAAAAAAAAAAAAGGGTTTCTTTTTCTGTCTTTTAGTAACATTATGCTAAGAAGTTTTACTTATTGATGTTATCATTGATATATTGTTTTCCAAATGTTGGTATTACCACTTTTTTCAAGTTCGTTGCCCTTCTCCTTTTCGCGTATTTTTTTTCTGCAGGTCATATAAAAGAATACGCAATAACTACAATGCGGCAATTCTCTGCCCTTCACAAGAAGGACAAAAAATTATTATCGAAAAACATTGTCTGATTCAGGTGAACAACGTCCATTTTTCTATATTTTGATTCTATCTTCTGGATTACAAATTTTTGTCTTCTTTTTTTTTGAGAAAAAGGAAAGAATTTTAAATTAGTAAATATATAAGAACAAACATTTACTCCTCTCTATTCTCATATATTACAGTTTGTTTGGCGAAATTTTCAATGTGATAAAGATGAAGGGAAATCTCGGAATATTTAAGAGAGCAGAGAGGCCTAAACTTGTATCTATAATTTGAGCGTGGGAAGAAGCGAAAATGAGGGATAAAGTCAAGCTAATTAATATTGTACCTAATATTGAATATTGGACAAAAAATTACGCTCATCTTTTAAAGATTTATTACATTAAGATTCTTCAATTCCAGAATTTCTACCAATGATGTAAAACTCATTTTGGACATTTAAATAACAATTGGAAGTTTCTACATTTCTTTCTCTACATTTTAAGCACTAATTCAATCGGTAACACATGATAAATGGACGGATATACGGTACCGAAATAATATTAACTATAAAGAAGTGAATAGGATCTCTGACCTTCGGCTACAATTTTATTTCGATTTGTACTGGTAACTTCTCATAATGCTTTCTGACAGATACCGCCTTATTCAATTATATACAGTGAATATGTTATTTTGTCAATCTATCGTGATTTTGTTTTTGTAGAGTTTCACAAGTTTGCATTCTAAACATTATTTTTGATTGTTTACCTATCATTCATTTAACAGAGGTTAATGGGATATCTGGAATAATATTTTCTATTCAGTCATATAAATAGATTTTCCATAATGTCTGAATTGTTATAGCAAAAAAGAAAAAGAAAAAAAAAACCATAAACAGAGTGGTTTCATATTTGTTATCTAATGATATTTACATGAGCATAATTTAACTTCATTTTATTTATTTTATTTCTTGCTAAGCTTATCCACTTCCATTCCTTCAACTAGAGTCAAATTCCCACAACTTTTGTAAGCTCTCAATGCATTCGAAATTTTGTTTACCTCAGCCCCCAACGATGCACTTAGTAAGCTATTTTCAATTCTAAACAAATTGGTATGCTAGTCGAATTTCGATCACCTGTGCTGCGACTATTTTCAATATATAAAAATTTATTTTGGGGCAATTTCATAATACCAGAATTCTAAATCTTTGGAGAAATTGATTTGATATTGTGATAAGTGGAAAGAATGCTAATGCTTGAAATTGAACTACTAAGATTCAAGCTTTGACAATCCATATGCTCCATTGACTTTGACAATCCATATGCTCCATTGACTTGAGTTGAAACTAAAGTGCTTCCTCAGATGTTGTCTTCGTTTTTTTTGCTACCATTTAAGCATGGTGTGGACTAACAAAATTGCCAGTACACACAATTACCAGCCCGCAAAAAAAGAAAAAAAAACTTTTTCCTGATATTGAAACTAAAGAAATGTAAACCAACAAGAGGGGAAAAAAAAGTTTGCCGATAACCGTAAAGGAATCTCTTCTTTCTTTAGTTCATTTCGTCAACTTCTTTGATATTTTCTCTATTTATGAATATGCATTTAATATTTCGAAATGGATTGAATGAGACAAGGTATACAGGTTGACAAGATGTTATTGATGATTCACCTGAGTCTTTTAGGTAAATAATGAGATATGTGGGGAGAGAAAAGGTAATCGTATATGTTTATGTATGTTCATAAATTTGTAAAGCAATCGTTAGTTTTGTCAACTGAATAACACAGTTCATCGTTGCATATACATCGAGGAAAACGATAATCATTACAACGATCATCGTTTTCACCAAGAAAGGTTTCATCGTTCACTACTCCAGATTTATCTTCTTAAACACTTACTTTATCTTAATTTGATTACCTGAAAAAGAAAAAAGGTAAGTTTTGCTTACACTAAATGTGTAACCTTACGGAAGAAGGCTTTCATAATTTGTTAAAGTAAAATTCATCATGCATTTTTTTATTAGGTATATATCACTTTTAAAATTCAGTTATCCGAAAAAAAGTTCGATAAGTGAACATTTGGCACAAATGAAATTTAACCCTATATTAATGTAGTTACCATTAAATATAATAACCAGAAATCCTTGATCTTGTCGGTCGGTTAATAAATATTATGTCCTATATTGCTAATTAGTGGGTACGGTAAACACTAGGACAATGTGTTATTGAGTTAGTGAATAGAAAAATTCGAGTGGTAAAATGACAAACAATATAGAGTGCGTGTATATATATATATATATATATATTTATTTATTTATGAGTGAAGTCTACAATAAATTTATGTGTGGGTGTGTCTACGTCTGTCTGTATGTGTATGTTTGCCAACTTATTTGCATATCCTACGATCGGGTTGGACTTCAATAGACCCCAACAATTATCAGCCTCATTGTATTCTCTTTGACGAGTAGTGTCCTTTGTCGCAGAATATTATCAAAGCTGATAACTCTCATTCCTTTTCTCGATTATTTTGCCACCAGTTAATTAGATAACTTCAGTTTTGTCTTGGAGAATGATATTAATCTTTTATTTTTAATGTAGCTGTGTAGCAAACATATGTTAAATCAATATGTATACTAATACTGATAAATTGATAAATTTGAATACTGTTGAAGTTTCTCATTATGAATTGATAAATCAAAATTGGATCCCAGCTCTTGTCTCAACTGTCATGTATTGTGTTTTTTGTTTCTCATTATAAGCATTTGAAATAGGAAGATAAGAAAAAGCAAAATTCCTAAAATAAACCAAATCTTTTCAAAATCTTAACTAAATAATCGAGCTTGTAAATGTTGCAAACTAATGAATTAAGTAATGAGTGACCAAGGCAGGATATGATTATTTGGTCATTCAGAGCAATACGTTTCTTTCTTGGTAATAACATACGATAAACATTATCTTAAGCTGATATTTCGAAAGCGCTCTGTGATTCATATCAATTTATCTAAACTAAACATTGTCAATGATATATGCATTCTCGAATGATTCCTTAGTACTTCAACTAATTTCTTTTTATATCGAAGATACTTTTATCATTTTCATTCATAACTGTATCAGATAAAAAAAAAAAGGAAATAAAAAAGAAATGCGCAAGGGGCATAAAAATGTGTGCAAACAAGATCATTCAATTCATTCATTTATCAATTCTTTTAATCTATCTACTGTTTGGATGCCTTAAAAGAATCAATCCAGTCTTAGTTATTCAACTAAAACAATATTATCATTTTCTTTTACATCCATCTTTCTATCTCAACATTATATGATTGTCACCTCTTCATGCATTATTATTATTATTATTATTATTATTATTATTATTATTATTATTATTATTATTATTATTATTATTATTATTATTATTATTATTATTATTATTATTATTATTATTATTATT